CAACATTGAGATCGTGGCTATTTTTCGTTCGAACTGTAGCCGTCGCAGCCTGAGATCGAGCATGTCTTTTCTTGTGATCGTGGCGTCGCACGCAAAGCTAGGGGATGTGCGGTCGCCCTCACGGTGTACGCGGCAGTCTTTCGCCGAGGAGTGGGAGAGGGTACCGTGAAGGCAAATGGCCGGATACGTGACGAGCAGACGTCATGGGCAGAGTCGAAGACCGAAGACGTGCGTCGTGGGGAGGGTGTCCTTACTTGACGTTGTCTGGTGTCAGAGCTGCCACTGCTGTACCAGAAGGATAACATTTTAGAGGCAGGGGCGCCATTAGTGGAGTGCAGTGCTGTGAGTCACAGTTGGTGGCCACTTTAGAGGCAGGCGCGCGCCTTGAGTCAACAAGATTTTCAGTCCTTCACAAATCAAGCAAGGACAACACAACGAATACGTGGCTCACCTCCAGTGTATGGCACTACGCGACAACTAAAAGCAGTACCACCTTCCTCCGCGTACTCATCATAAAATCTCCATGCGATGTTGATGTGGCCTACATTGACCTTTGTTGTTGGGCGGTGGCGCCAAAAGCTTTGAAGTATACTGCCATCTTCACAGCCTCATCTTTGGCGATGCAACCTGCGGAACCCCCCCCCCCCCTCCCCCCTCCTCGCTGCTGGCCACTCACCACCCGAGAACAGACTTGTACGCGAGGTAGGGGTGCACGGCGGAGGCTCCGTAGCCCACAAGGCAGGCGAAGTGGTGCGTGCTCCACGCCTGCCCGGTCTCCACCACGATGGAAGCCTGTGACGTCACCACCATCAAGCGGAAGAGAGAGATCGCAACAATCCTTACTATAGTAGTCAGCAACCTTTTCCCCGCTGCCTTTGCTAAAAACCGCGCCTGGTTCTACGCGCTTCAACTATTATATGTATACACAAACGGGGGTTGTTGTTGTTGCTGGCGGGGCTGGGATCTCGGACGAGTTGTTCTTTCTTTTTAGTAGGAGCCATGGCGAACGGCAAAGGCGACCAAAAGCCGTGACTTCACTTCAACAATAACAACAGCAGCAGCAGCAGCAGCAGCGACGACGACGACACCGTACGCACAGAACACCCAACCAGACATAACAGCATGTGGCCACGACAACAACGTAGGCACAGACTCTCTGGCAGGCCGCCGGTGTAGCGACACATCGACTGCTGAAAAAACCAAGCTGCTCACTACACACACGTCTGGTTCTGTTTCTTGGCTGTTTCTTGGTCATAGCGAGGGACAGCAACAACCCAACTCGATCTCTCTCGCCTTCATTCTGACGCCGGCCTCGATGAGGGCGTGGTGCGTGGCACCCACAGCCAACAGAGGGGGGATGTAAGTCTCATCCGACGACAGCCCTGAAAACAAGAAAAACGGAGCATTTGCATAAGAGGAGGGTACTCAGTTTGTTGCTTGCTTCAATCATTTGATGACTGGTCCCGCGTGCATCCGGTTCAAGATAACGATGGGGGTCGGGGGTCGGGGGCTGATTCGTAAAGAAGAAAAAACATCATCAATAGACGATAGAATGGTACAATAGAATAGCATACCAGAGAGGTTGGCGCGTGGGGGCGTGGGGGGGGG